CTGTTAGATAGGATAGCTGGGCTGTTAGATGGGATAGCTGCGGGTCCGGAGGTTGATCTGTGGATGGATTGATTATACCTGCAGGGGCTTGAAGGCCTCGGGCAAACAGGCCTAGTAGACAGCAGAGTAGGAGATTGGCTGCTGGGAGGCTGTTATCTGTCATAATGAGATGAACACTATATACCGATCACTGATTTGAATGTGTAAGTAAAGTTGTTTTCTAGCAAGTATTTTCTAAGTAAAACGTAAACAAAGATGAAGAAACTTGAATGTGTAAAATCTATCAAACAATTTCTCATTTTCTTCATGCAATCTCCGTACAAACGCGGAGGAGAAAACAGTATTAGGGGAGCAAGTTCATAGAGGTAGGATTAGATAAATGGGAAAATGACGAAAAAAAACCCATGCCATTTTTTTATTGAAGAGGCATAAGCTGCCAAGCATTTTTTATTGAAGCAAATGCAAGCATGCTTATGCATATCCATTGTCTAGAGCTTCATCTGACAAGCAGTTCAATGTTTATGCAGTAATTCTAATATCCAAATATGTTTTTAAATGGGAAGCAGACCTCAATTAGTGCATCGTATTTTTTGAGTTCTTCAAGTTTCTTGGAAACAACTGAAGAATCTATACTGTCCCCAGTTGCCTTGGAAATTGATGAAATTCTCCCACGTTGCGAGCCAAATGTTGACCTAGGTAAATTACAATTACGCACTTCACTGAGTTATGACTCCATGCTTTTAATTTTGGCCTACAGCAGAAAGTGACTGGTTACGTCCTGATGCAACAATGACAAATAGAATTTGAGTAGAAGAAAGGTAAGTTGGAAACATAATTATAATTTTCTATTTCATCCATAAATTAAACTGATCTCTATTCTCAATAAAAATTAGAAATAAAACACAAGCTGGACCACGTTAAAGCAGTTCTACAGAAAGAATATTAAACAACAATTTAGAATTTCATCCATAAAACAACTCAACCTTCCAAATCAAATAATAACGTATAATTGCGTAGACTTAGCAAAATACAACGAACTAAACAATTATTCCATGTAGGTGGACAAGTAATTTCAGAATCAATCGTGTTAACTATAGCCATACGCACTTATAGAGATAAAGGAAAATTGATACACCACCAACTTGTAATTTCTGAATTGTTGAATCTCGTTGCTGCATCTAATAACGTATAATTGCGTAGACTTAGCAAAATACAACGAACTAAACAATTATTCCATGTAGGTGGACAAGTAATTTCAGAATCAATCGTGTTAACTATAGCCATACGCACTTATAGAGATAAAGGAAAATTGATACACCACCAACTTGTAATTTCTGAATTGTTGAATCTCGTTGCTGCATCTGCATTTTGTGCTCCCGCTCCATCTGTAACAGTTGAGCTATTTGATTTCTGAGCTGAGCATTTTGCTCCTTTACTATCTTATGCTTGTCCACAAGAATAATGTTCTCAGACTGCATCAATTAAACAAGAGCAATGTAACAGATTGGCTTCATGCTTAGCTAAAGGCTGAAGCACGGCACAATTAATTGTAAAATGATATAACAGCTAGGCTTCATACTTAGATACTTCTTTTTTATTATGACTTCCACAGTTGAGGCCTAATTAATGGAGTTCCTACATTTATTGTTTACCTAAATTTTCTCTTACACTAATAAGGATTCTAGGAATCTAAAAACATTTATTATCAGGCACAACATTCTCTCTTTTAAAAGAAAAAGACTAGTACGTTACCCGCAACAGAGCATGACGCCAGAATGAAGAATGAGCCAATTATCCTCCTAGTAATCTAAAACATGTGTAAAACAGAAGCACAAAGGCTCACTAAGAAAAAGGCTCACAGTAGCACATGAACAAGATATCAATAATGTCCAACAAACAGTCGTGTATTAGCACAATGAGGGGTGTATAACCATGGGGCAATACAAGTTCTAACCTTGCTTTTCCAAAATATTTTCCATCTTTAAGAAGAAAGAGAGATTAACAATTTCCATTGTTCTTTAGCAGTTTAATTAGGATTTATAGTTGACTCTGAGAGAATATTTAGTTCATACAAACCCAAAAGTCACAAACTTTCATATAAAATACAGTTCATTCCAGAAAAATTCATAGTTTTCAGTCTTAAACATTTGTTTCACATTATAATGATTATCAATACGCTATATCTGCTAAATATATTCAAACGCTATATATGTTTCTATATTATATGGATATATATATAATAAAATAAAAAGCTATAATTATCTGTATAGGGTTGAGATGGAATTGTTATGGTTCTACTCTCATTCAAGTTGGTCTCTATTTTCTTTTTCTTTCTTTGTTTTTGGTTTAGCAAAATTAGCATTACAGATGATTCTTAAATTGTACAAAACAAAAAGGTTATAGCTAATAATAAGTGCTAGAAGAATATGATGTCTTATAGGTAATATTTATAGAAATATGCAGTAATAATGATAGTTTCTACTTGGATATGTCTATCAATTAGATTATTCATCTGGGAAAAATATCAAACTGATGTTATCTTGTGTTCTTGTGTTCTTGAATATCGTTGAAGAAGATCTAGGTCTAATTTACAATAATTTTTACACGATTTAATTTATACATCGAGAAGAAATATTGTGTTCTCATTTTTTCAACTAAATGAGAAAATCTGAAAATACTCGATCAATGACGAACATTTTTTTTCTCCAACTAAGCTGCGTCAAGTTCGTCAGTATATAAAAGGCAGCAAATCAATAGTAAAAGAGAGGTTTCAAGCTTCAACATCGCACGTTGTTTAGTTTTCTCAGCAACTAAACACACGAGTAGAAGTTAGAAGGGAAATATAAAAGTTCGAGCGTTACCTTTTTTCTTGACCTTCTCATTGAGGTTCTTAACGTATATAGTTTGGTTTGGAGGTATATGCCCTGTAAGCATCGTCTCTCTAAAGATCACTGTGTTGAAGAATCAGTCAGCCAAACGGTGCTTAGGTTTCTGGCTCTGCGTATATTTGTCACGAAAGGGTGAGAGTGTCTTAGCACCGGAACTGATTGAGGCCTATTTGGGCCCTCAAAAGAAGTACTGAGTTTCTTAGGCCAAGCCTTTTAAATGAGAGTGATAATTAGCTGCAACCACTGTTCCAGAGAATATCTTAGAACGTGCCCTTCCTTCGTGAACTTTTCGACAAGACACCGCCTTCCTCTCCAACAACGCATCCAATGAACTGTCCTTCATCAGACAATATTCACAGTGTGAAAAACGTTATTATATGATCGAATTTATCCAAATCCACCAGAATTTTCTCAGAGCTCATTAAATAATAATAATTATAGTGAATGTATGTTTCACACCCACCTCATTAATTGTTAATTATCAAAATTAAAAATTTAAAAAAATTTGAAAATTTCCTCTTTTACAGAATTAATTGGGATATATATTAGAAGATGAATAATTATATTTGGATAAAAATAGTAAGAACTCTACGTTTTCTGTTAATTATAATTTATTTAAATTTAATATCTTTTAATATATGTAATATTTACTCTTTTTGTATATTTTATTATTATATATTATCATATAATTTGAGAACAATTTATTCTAAGAAAGTTAACTTATATATTAAATACATTTAAATTATATTTTCTGAAAAATAATTTCATTTTAGGTGTATTATGAAGTATACTTTATTCGAAATAGGTGATTCTGAACTAAACCATAACTAAAATTTCGTTATAGAACCTAACTCAAGAGGAACTTGACGTGTCACCACCGTGCACCCGCTCTGGACTAGTAAGTGGAAAAGGGAGCTTGCTTGCATTAATTATATGATGAACCAACAAGTTTCATGGAATGGCCGGTACGTATATGCCTTTTCTTGGTATATGCCATTCGAGTGCCTTTTTCAATTAAATTTAAATTAGGTTTACTTTTTTTTTTTTTTTGAAGATTGTAAATTAGCTTTACTTGGATAGTATTATATAATATATTGTTAACTAGCTTTACTTGGAAGTTCAAACTATTTTCTTTCTTTTATCTTATACACCTTAAGCACACAACCAAAAATATATAAATTGAAAATAAATAACATAAAATAATCATCTGTTTATTTCTTGAAGTGATTCATAATGGATAAATATATTTAAATTTAATTTTTTAATTAATTTAATGGAAAGTTTAAATCAGAAAACTAATTTGACCATTTTTTGAGTCATCAATATATGTGAAAATAGAAATAAAAAAGATAATGATATAATTTTCTCTCAGTTTAAATAAATATTTATTTTTTCATATGGAACACATTTATTTTAATTAAAAAAATGTCCAAATCATCTTATTGTTAAAAAGTTCGTATTAAAATTGATTAAAAAAATTCAATTTTAAATAACTTGTACATCGTGATCAAATTTAGGAATTTACAAAAAAAAAAAAAAAAGACTTTGTACATCGTGAATCAATTTAGGAATTTAAAAAAAAAAAAAAAAAGTACCCATAAAGAGTATAGAAACAAGTAGGTTAAGAAACTTTGATTATTATCACTTTTGATTATTAATTAATGGAGATATTTAATTATAAATGCAGAAAAAAATAGTTTCTAAAATTGATTATTTATTTTTAAAAGATTTAGTTTAATATTTATTCTAAAAAAAATTAATCTAACATAATAAAATGAGTTTTAAATTTATATAAAGTAATAAAAAAATAAATATGTTAATTTCATTGGAGGCAATGGCATGCATGCCAAACAAAAAATAAGACCGGAGAAGCAACACGGCGCGCGCAATCGCAAGTATAAAAGAACGCGCAAAAACATACGCAGAGAAATAGAAACACACGCTAGCTGAGAAAAACCAAAAAAAAGAAAAAAAAAAAAAAAAAAAAAAAAAAAAGAAAAAAAAAAAAAAAAAGAGTAAAGAAAAAAGAAAAGAAAAATTGGCAGCGACGGGGCCTTTCTCGGATCCGCTTTACCCGGGTCCCATTTATCTACCTGTCTAAACACATTTTCCACAGCAGAAAAAAAAAAAAAAAAAAAAAAAAAAAGAGTAAAGAAAAAAGAAAAAGAAAAATTGCAGCGATCGGGCCTTTCTCGGATCCGCTTTACCGGGTCCCATTATCTACCTGTCTAAACACATTTTCACAGCAGAGATTATTGAAGAAGAAGAAGGAGAAAGTGATAGAAGAAGAAGAGGCGGAGAGAGATGTGGGTGTTTTACCTGATCTCGCTACCTCTAACCCTAGGCATGGTGATTTTGACGTTGAGGTACTTCGCTGGACCGGAGGTTCCTCGTTATGTCTTTTTCACCGTCGGATACACCTGGTTCTGTTCTCTTTCCATTATCATCCTTGTTCCCGCCGATATCCATACGGTGATTCTAATTCTTTTTATCTTAATCGCACTTGTTTCATTTCATTTCATTTCTTATTTTTGTGTTAAATTTGTTCAATTTCATTTCCTTACCTTAATTTACCGATCGTTTGAGGGAAGAAATATGGTTTTCTTGGAAAATTTATGGAGGAATCGTTTAGTTTTCATTGTAGATAGGATTTGAATATGGAATGGTCTTATCATTTTAGCTGAAGTATCATTTTAGCGAGAATTTATTGATAATTTAAAGAAAACAGGAGCTGAATAGGTTTGGAGTCACTTAGAAGATGAACATTTTAATCGTACTTAAAAGTAGTTTTGTATTCACTTTGGTTAGAGTTTACTTTGATTGATTATAAACTTGAGAAGTACTAGTGTACCTTTTCTCTTTTTTAGTTATTTTCCTCTTTTACGTATTATTGTAAGGACTTGCATTGATTAGTAGATAACCATTACTTTCAGTTTTTGGTGCTCTTATGTTAGCTTCTTGTTCTCATCATGTTCATGAAAAGAAAATATGTTGTTGCAATTTTCAATTGTGTTTTATGGTTAGGCATTTGATGTCAACAACTTTACAGGTGGCATGAAAATGCTATTGCTTTTATTACGAAAATACTGTTTTAAATTATTTATCTGTATTTTGTACATGCTAACATTCTCCTTATGTGCAATACATATGGGGTTTACTTGTTTTGTTTAAGTTGGCTACAGTTATTAAATTCTCATCACTTCCATTTTCTAGTTCCTTGTCACTTTCTTCTCCCTTTAGGATCAAGGTTCCTATTTGCCAGAAGAAAAAATATGCTGAAAGTTTGAATTTTTAATAGAGAATTTTGAATGGGTTGTGGTTGATGGAAGCTTTCATTAACATTGTTTAATCTTTTATCATATGTACAGACAAAATTTCATCTTGACAATGGAGGCATTTCTTTCTTTTGGAGTTGGTCGTATTGGAGTACGTTTTTACTTACATGGTATGTAGCAAGTAAGCTTATATTTTTTTTATCCTCCTCTCTATCCTATTAGTTATTACACTGAACTGAGTGCATCTAATATCACCTTTTGATTTTCAACAATGTTGTTATTGTTCTTTAATCATTGTATAGTGTAATAGTGTTCAAGAAGTCAAGGACACACCAATGTGATCCTATTATTTAGTTACTGGACTCATGTGCAAAATATAGGAAATAAAATTGTTTAAAAATGGATTACATATTTCTATCACACATGCTGCTCAGAATTCACAGTTCATTACAGACATGCATGAGTTGTAGTGTTCTATAAGAAGCCATTTTTCCTTTTTCAGTGCATACGCAGTACAAATTCACCTGAACTCTTTTTTCATCTTATATTTATATAAAAACATGCTCAAACACACACACACTCTCTCTCTTTGTTTGGAAAAAAAATGGACCTTATCAATTTGCAAGATTTGCTGGTCCTTTATTTGCCACAGAGAGACAGAGAATATATATATAATTGTTGAGTCTCATTGTACTCGGTGATTATTTTTTTTTCCTTAAGAATAATTGTAGATATTTTATTTTTTTTAGATGCACTATTCCTCATATATATTAATTATGTTATCTCTAAGCAGGGCTGTGGTGCCCCTTATCCAGGGTTTTGAAGATGCTGGAGACTTTACTGTGACGGAAAGATTAAGGACTAGCATACATGCCAATTTGGTCTTCTATTTAATTGTGGGATCTATTGGGCTCTTTGGACTTATCCTTCTCATCATGATGCATAAGATAGAGTTCGTTTCTTTTCACCCTAAAGCTTGCTTTCTTTACTTCATATTCCTGACTTCGCATTTTGCTGGCATTTTGTTAGATCTTAATTCATTTATTTGCTTTCACTTTAGAAGCTTCTGCATCTTTTTCTTTTATTCACATGCTGAATATATTATATTTTGTTTCTACTTTCTATACTGAATTTATTGGGGGTTCACAACATTATATTGGGACATAGAACAGACTGTGTGTAGATACATCAATGGATATAATTTCATTCAGCACTTGAAAAAATTGGTTAGATATCATGTTTGCTTACTATCTTTATTGACAGGAGTGAAGGTGTGCTTGGTTTTGCCATGGCATGCTCGAATACTTTTGGACTTGTTACAGGCGCCTTTCTTCTTGGTTTTGGTTTGAGTGAAATTCCCAAAAGCCTATGGAGAAATGCTGATTGGACAACTCGCCAAAAAGTTCTTTCTCATAAAATTGCCAAAATGGCTGTGAAGCTTGATGATGCTCATCAAGAACTTTCAAATGCTATTGTAGTAAGTGTTCTTTTGGATCCCAACCACTACCCAAAACAACCAAATTTATGAACCATATTTTATTAATTGCATGTTACCAATATTTGAAGGAGCATATGCCTTTATTTTCTGCAATTGACTATTTTTTTTTTTTCTTATTTTTAAGCTAATAGAAATTTATTCTTTGTCTTGGTCGCTCTAGAGTTCTTCATTCCTTCCCCCTTCCTAATCATGAGCACTTCATTGTATGGTCTCCATGAACCTTTTTTTTTTCAGATTTCATTGCATTGAAGCTAGTGCAAGTTTCAATAGTTTTAGGTCCTATATGTATGCTTGCTGGTCATGTTTCCTTCTTGGATATAAAACATACGTGTTTCAGTACCACAAAGCAATAGTTAATTGACATAGGCATTCAATATCGATATCATGTGGTTTTTGATATTTTCTTTTATCTTTTTTTGCTGAGATGTTTCTATCAGTTCTATCATTACATTTATTTCTTTTTCAGTGAGATCTTTTTTTTTTCCTTGCCGCCAAAATTAAGTGGTGTATGTTGATGCTGTTAAGGATTAGTTGTAAAACAGATGCAAAGTGATGTTGCAACTTCCAGCAAGTGTAAAGCACCAATTCTGGCGCAGGACGTCTAGGAACAACGTGGATTTATAGAAATTCAGGCTACAGTTTTGATTTTTACAAATCAGGAATTAGGGTTATAAATTGACTTGCCAGATTTCTTTTTCTTTAGAAAAAAACAAAAACAAAAAGTTGTACAAAGAAAAATAAACTACTAGCCTAAAACTGTATGATCTAGAGGTCACTCCTATGAAGCAAGAATCACATTTTCTAGGGGTAGAATTCATCATAAAAATCAAATCACGAGCATAAATTCTGGAATTTTGTTGGCTGAAATCTTAATTTTAAAGCATCACCAGCATGGATATTATTTATAGACCCAAACAAATCCTAAACCATTAAAGGTAAAAGGCTTCAAAGCTTCTCAATCCTCTTAAGGATTTGGACACATAGACTCCGTTTTTTCCTCTTTTCGGATGGTACCTATGCATTAAAGTAAATTCTTAATTGGTATAACTACTGGAGCCGAATGAGAGGAAGGGACACTACATATGATTATAAAATTAGAAATCTGGACAGATTTTCTGGCAAAGCTTGAAATTACAAAATTTCCCTTGAGAAATACTAAACCAGCTTCTTATTTATTTAATAGACATATAAATATAACTCTAGGGGAACTAAAAGATGTGCTTTAATAAGCCAACTAAAACCTATATAAAATGTAGAACATAATTCTAAAATCCGAGTTTATGAATTTGAATTTTCTTGATATCCTTGTCCACATCAATTTTTATGTATAACTATATGTGTTTGAAGTTAGACATGTTTTTTGAAAATAAATTGCACTTTCAGCACCTATTGTTTCAGAAAATATATTCTCATACAACTATATAGGTGAACAAGTCACCATTTGTCTTAATTTTCGATGGGAATTTGAAACTTTTAGTTTCATCACTTTCATATGCGTGAAGATGGTTCATCTAATCTAACTGACTCCTGTCTTTGTGCTTGCTTGCTTGCTTTCTCAATTTATTGCTTATGCTTTCCCTCAATAGGTTGCTCAGGCAACATCCAATCAGATGTCCAAGCGTGACCCTTTGAGACCTTACATGAATGTCATAGATAACATGCTAGCTCAAATGGTATATCTCCTTCTCTCTCTCTCTCTCTCTCTCTCTCTCTCTCTCCACTTGTTAGGTGGGCCCTCTTTCAATTTTATGCAATACTATTTTCTTTTTGCAGTTTAGGGAGGATCCATCCTTTAAACCACAAGGTGGCCGATTGGGAGAAAATGATATGGACTATGATACGGATGAGAAGTCAATGGCAACACTTAGACGTCATCTTAGGGGAGCTCGTGAAGGTTATTATCGTTATAAAAGGTAAACTAGTAGATATATATTCATTGAAGAAGAACTCATTAGGAGTTATTCTCACCATCGCTGATATTTGGGTATTTGCTTGATACCTTCATATCTTCTTATTTCTGTAGTAGCAATAATGACCGTTGCATTTATACTTTCACCCTGTCTTTAGGCTGTGCATTTCTGTTGCTACAATTTCTGTCTGCTTCTTTTAGTGAATGCACTTTACTGTCCTTCAAGTGCTATTAATATTAGATCATGAACTCTTTTAGAACATAATTTTCAATTTCTGCCGATGGCAATGATATTTCAGTGTTCTATGATTCCCAACATAAAAGAGTATTCTTGTTTGTAATGCCCATAGTTTTGAGAATGTTCCAGATTTGTGTCTTTCTTACCTCTTTGAAGTCTTTTATCGTTAGTATGAAAACTGCTAGTTCACTTCTATTGCATTTCCAGGGGTATGACACTTTTGAGTGACTTGTGATTTTATGGTTTTAGCTAATGCTAGTTCTTCAGTTTGGAAGTGTGAGTCTGAATTCTCAATTTGTTGGGGCGCATATTAATGGTTTTTCACATTCATTTAATTTACCTTTTGCAGTGAGTATATGACCTATGTCTCAGAAGCCCTTGAACTGGAAGATACAATTAAAAATTATGAACGTGCCAGTTCAACTGGATGGTTTGCTCCTAATTGGGAATTCTATTTTCATTTTGTTCTTTGTATGTATTTTTCAAGTTGTTTGGCAAGGACCTTATGTCTTCATATGCTATTGCAATAGGAAATATATTTCAAGCTTCAGACCTGCTCGAACTGGTAAATTGGGGTCACTCTTTGATACAATTGGTAATCACTGCTTCTGTTAACCCATTTATTTTTATTATGTTTTATATTGCACTGCATGAGGATTGATTATTACTTTTTAAAAATAATTTAATTGTTCTAATGATCTTATATAGAGGTGGAACCAGGAATTCAGTGTTTTTTTTTTGTTTACTTATTTATTTATTTATTTTTCCCATTGATTATTACTTTTTAAAAAATAATTTAATTGTTCTAAGATCTATATAGAGGTGGAACCAGGAATTCCAGTGTTTTTTTTTTGTTTACTTAATTTATTTATTTATTTTTCCCGCGGGGGGGGGGGGGGAGTGTTTGAAAATCCATTCTCAGGCGGTTCAATTCTATGATAAATAGAAAATTTTATTGGTGAAATATTTGAATAAAAAAAAAAAAATCCAATTAAGAAAAGGGGGGGGGGGGGGGGAGTGTTTGAAAATCCATCTCAGCGGTTCATTCTATGATAAATAGAAAATTTTATTGGTGAAATATTTGAATAAAAAAAAAAAATCCAATTAAGAAAAAAAAGTGAGAAAAATTATTTTCAAGCTTATAAGTTTAAACATAAAAAATTCATAAAAGATAAATGAATAATTTGAAAAAAATTTATATAAAAAAAATATTCATTGATTTGCGGGGCGAAAATTCATGTAATTGCTTTCATCAAATGGTCAATAGAAAATGTTATTGATTATGAAAATATTTGAATAAAACAAAAATAAAATCCAACAAAGAAAACAAAAGTAAGACAAGATAGTTAAATTTAAACATATAGATTAAATTCATAAAAGATAAATGAGAAATTTGGAAAAATACATACCAAAAATATTCATGGAATTGTGGGTACAAAAAAAAAAAAAAAAAATCAAGCTTATCAATTGATCACTTAAGTTTGAACTGGGTTCATCTTTATTCAAGGTGTAATTGGAGTGCGCCGTGTCTGATTTAGCTTCTTAGCTGGACAATTGGATGTGGGTCACACATCAGCACTTAGAAACTAATAAAATTAAAATATTGGTGTCTCCTTAATTTTCTTAGTGTCCTCCTATCCAGTCTCGGAAATCATGAGTGTTTGTCAGCACACAAGTGAGTTGTTCTGCTATGCATTCACAATAGTATGGTGGACTTTGTTCTCTGTTTCACTTGGGCAGAACATATAAGCATCTATGATGTAGTGACTAGAGTGTGTCATAAGGCTCTGGAACCTTAGTCTTAACCATCGTGATGCAGCAAGGAGAACTAATCAAGCTAACCTGCAAAAATAATGAAACAAAAAAAGAAATTGATATCTATACGAGTAAAGAAAAAAGAACTTTTGATGACTCTCAAATCCTAATCCAAGTTCAATATCATCTGTTTAAAGACCATGTAATTCATTAAAGCGTTATATCATTTGGAAAAATATTCCTTTGCAAACATCTAAATCTAGTGCACCCTAGCCAAAGGTAAAATGGGAGGTCCAAATGAGACTAACTGATATACTTCTTCTGTGTACTCAAGTTTTGTCCTGATCAGAAACTGAAGGCCTTTTAGCAGCTTAATGCCACTAAAGTATCAACCAAATATAAAATTATGAAACTCAAATAACAGTTTTAGAGCTTTAGAAGCCATTAAACACTCTGTTACCCTAGTGAATTATTAGGAGACACATAAACTAGAGAACAAAATTAGAATATGAATTTTGAAAATATACAGTTCTAGCACCAGGTGTAAGACTATATAGCTCCTAAACAAATGAATGAATTAACCTCTATTCAAATTTTAGATAAATTTTATACAATATTTAAAAAATTTTAGATAATGTGAATATCTCACGGCCACAAATTCCGAAACTCCAGATTCCTGAAAGGAAAGCTTAATTGAAAATTGTAGTTAGATTTTTTTCTTCATGAATGCTAAATGACAGGAGTCAGGATCATAGTTACAAGTATTGAAACGTGAATTGGCCATTATGTTTCTCAGAGCGGATGTTAAGAATTTCTGTGATCATTTACCAATTCTGCAATATTTGCAAATAATCTCAGTAAGTGTTTTGAAGTGTATCACTATGTAGAATATTGGACCAAGCCAACCCCCTCATATAATGTATCAAGCCAAGTTTTTGTATATTGTCCCTATATCTGTACCATCACCAGAACATGATGTTTTTCTGGTAGCATGCACAGGAACATGTAAACATATCTCTGATGCTGGCGCTCATTTAATTAATAAAATATGTCGTTATTATTTAATATGCTATATTTTAAATTTTGTGATGGTTAGATTTTCTTAAAATTTTTAATTTGGCAGATCTATTGTGTTGGAGCTGTAACACTTCAAAAATTATCCTGTCTTGCAGAGTTTTTTTGGCGATGCATCCTGAGAAAGCAATTTGAGAAGCTCTTGGCTATCATACTTGGAACTATGTCAGCTGCAATTCTTTTAGCAGAGGCAACTCTGCTACCGACTGGAGTTGATCTTTCACTTTTTTCAATCCTGATTAACTCTATAGGAAGGCAAGAACTGTTAGTCCAGGTATTGTCATCTTCTGCTGGATAATTCTATTCCTGGTTTTATTGGTATTTACTTGCATCATTTGTGTCCTGTGTAGTTACATGGTTTTTACTCTATTACTTCTTTCTGTTTTGTTTATCAGGTGTTGGCTCTTGTGCCTTTGATGTATATGTGCGTCTGCACGTACTACTCTTTGTTCAAAATTGGAATGCTGATGTTTTACTCTTTAACACCCAGGCAGACAAGCTCAGTCAGCTTGCTTATGATATGCTCGTAAGTTTTTCCTGAGGGATATATTATTATCAAATCTTCTTCTTCTTCTGCTCCTCCTCCTCCTCGTTAGACAAGAAGAAGCCTTAGCATATCTAATCTTAACAATTAACATGCCCCTTAGGATGGTTGCTCGGTATGCTGCTCCAATTTCATACAACTTTCTCAATCTCATCGATCTTCACGCTAAAACCATATTTGAAAAGGTAAGTCTCCACTCAGCTCTCATATACATGCATATCTTGTCGGAGCAGAGACAAACAAAGTGAGTCTTAACAGTATTGTGGAATGATTGTCTTGATAATCTAATCCAGGTTCCAATATCCAGACTGTAGGAATCACATTAATTAGATTCCCTAAGAGCGAATATAATATGTATCTTACAGTCTTTAAGCTTTGGAAATGTTCCAATGCTAGTCTAGCTTATTGACTTGTCTCTTTGTTTTTTTTTTTTTTTTTATGTCCCCTTTTTTTGGCCTTGGGAAAATCTTGCCTTTTTGGTATTTGGTATTGATAATGAAAATTTTCTAATCTATGGCTAGATTAAAGTAGCATGGAATTTCAAGGAGACCACCAATTCATAAGCCTTTGGAACTTGTTTTGTCTATTACTTGTAGTAAAAACTGTGAATAGTTTTGAATAGCTGTTGTATAAAGTTAGGGAAGTATGTAGAAAGCAATGCTGCTCAGGAATGGCTTCTTTCTTGCACTTTCAAGAGTTGACGCAACTCAGTAGAGTGAATTTTCTGTTATATTGTCTGGTAAATTCTTACCTGAGTTCCTGTGTAATCTTCTATGGTTTCTCATTTTCAATCGCAAACTACAGATCATGCTTGTTTTTTTTATTTTTATTTATTTTTCTTTTCGATTTACTCTAGCATCAATATCCAGTTTGGTTAAACTTTGCAGGTTTTCAATGTCTCGGTTTGTGCGTGCCTGCATATTTTTTTCCTGTCATATTTGTGCTTTTGGTTTTGCCTTTGAGCTATTTAGAGTTTCTGTTATTGAGTTTCTCATCTTGTCCTTGATTAATTTGGTGTATAATAATGCACTGGTTGCAGCGAATGGGAAAAATTGATGAAGCTGTATCTTTTTTTGGAAGTGGGTTTAACAAAATCTATCCTCTCATAATGGTTATATACACCCTGTTAGTCGCAAGCAATTTCTTTGACCGTGTGATTGGTTTCTTTGGGAGTTGGAAGAAATTTAGATTTCAAACTGAAGCAGATGATACTGATGGATTTGATCCATCAGGAATGATTATCCTACAAAAAGGTAACTGCTTTGGACTTGCCCTTTTATAATTTTATATTATATACATTATGCTATACAGTGCTGTCAAGACTTATGCTTGAATTTAATTAATTATTTTTTTATCCTTACATCTGTCAGACATAAATTGCTTGAAATTTAAACTTTGTTTCTCCTTATTTATGTCTCATTTTTACAGAACGATCTTGGCTGGAACAAGGAGAAAATGTTGGTGAGCATGTTATTCCATTGGCAAGAAACTTCAATAGTGTGGATATCGAGTCTGGCAGCAGTAATGCAGTAAGTACTCACATTTCGAAACTGACACGCTTGCAGTAGCTTTTTTTTTCTCAAATTTTTATTTTTCAAAAAGGTAATGCTGACTATATGTAATTAAAGCTGCAGTTCTTTTATTTATTTATAAATAAATAATGTATAACTCATAATTTATAATTATTTGGTCATTTTAGTATCCTAATACCCAACTGAAACATTTGGTTTGATTTGGTTCAGTTCAGATAGTGTTGTGTTCTGAAAGTTTAAAAATTTGGATTAACTGAAGATTTTAGTTAGCTGAACTAAACCAGATGCTTACATGCAATTTGATGGATTATCAAAACTCAATACGATAAATAATGAGGTTCATGTAAAATGCTATTCTTATTCTTTTTTTTCCCATTCTTCTTAAGAATAAGAATGATATATATCTCACCTACTAACTACCAAGTAAAATTCTCAGGAAAAGGTGGCTGTTGAAATGAAGGCAACAACTAGTTTAGTTGCTAATGACATAAAGGGAAGCACATCGACCCCTTTAAAAGAAGAGAATCGTAGATATAGCACCAGCAAAGAAGCCATCAGCAACAAGTACGCAGCCATGAGAGAACAGAGTAGAAACGCCAGTACACCACCTGTGGAGAAGAATATCGCCTCTGCTAAGGTGTCATTGCTCAATGCAGGCACAGCTGAATCCAACACCCCAACAGGTGGGCCATCTGGTTTGGTGTCAAAATGGGAATCAATGAAGAATGGGTTTCAAAGCTTTAAGGCAAACATAGGGGTTAAAAGATTTCTACCTTTACGCCAAGTTCAGGAAACTAAACTTGTCTCTCGTGGTTCATCATTTGAGTCTCTCGATGAGATATTCCAAAGATTGAAACGGCCATCTGATGAACGTGGCGTTAACAGTGATGTTAATAGTGATGATGATGACGACACTGTGGATGCAATATCAGGCCCTGGCAGATGAGGTTGGATTTGTCAGAGGAATAGGAAATTGTGGATGTTGTAGAAACTGAAACACAAGATGTATAGATAAACGGGTGATGCCCATCTTACACCAAATTTTTTCGACTGAAATTTAGGAGGCTGATCTACCAGACGGAGATATCATACATACATCAGAAATGGGAAAACTCAGATATACGATAGGATGGACAGAGAGAAGATGAAGAAGAAAAACGTCCACTATTTTGAATCGTAGCAGTAAAAAGTAATTTGATGTCACAAAATATTTGAAAACAATGTCCTTATTGAGTTATTAATTTGTAAAGAAGATAGCATGCCCCTTGGAATCGAAGGGCTTGAATGCTTCCAGGAAATGTTGTATTTAGCTAACATAAATATTTTGAAATTATTAAAATTTTGACTTAATTCTTAAAAATAATTTGACTTCTTGATCTCTTTCTTAAGGGCAATTAACGAAAATGTATTATTCACTAACCTACGAAAAATTTTCTAATTTTTCATTCAAAATTTGTTAATTTTTTTTTTAAAAATTTTTCTATTCAATTTTTTTAATATAATGCCAGACTAGGTGCGTGTGAATAGCACTATCCTTTAGAAACCATGTGTGAATACCACTGTCCTTTAGAAATATCACTGTGGTTTGGAAATCAGTCGTGGTCTATTTATTTTTTCAGAAAATATAAGGAGAGGTAAGGGCTACCTTCTACTGTATAACCCATTATTCCTCTTGATTCTTTATGGATTAGCTAAATCATTAAAAATATCTCAATCTTTACGGGTAGTTTTAATTGTACTCTAAATTTAACTTTTTTTCCTCCTAGTACCATAAACTTTAGCTTTAGTTACGATAGCATCCGAAATTTCAAATTGTATCCAATTTAATGAATAAAATATTATTTTCATTGTATCCAATTTAATAAATAAAATATTATTTTTGTGAAACTAATATGGCCAGGTTAATTAAAAATTCACTGTTTAACTGATTGGTCTTCTCACTCATGTGAGGAATGGAAGGTCTCGAGTTCGAGTTCTCTCAACCACAGTTGTTATCACCAATTTGGTGCGCCAAGGAGAGAGCTACCCTCTATTCTGTTTAACAACGTCCTAATTAATATTTGTTAGGAATTTAAATTTATAAAAAGTCAAATAAAATAATAAATTTTAGTTAGTTGTAAGCATAAAATACTAATTTGGATTTTTGTTTTGTCAATCTTTAAGCATGGAAATTTGTTTATGCTCGATTTAAATCTTTTATAAAAATAGATTTTATTCGTTACAACGTTATTTTATTTTTAAGGAATCATTACTTGCTGTCAATATTATATAAATAAATAAAAGTATTTTATTTTTATGATGAATAGATTATTTTTTATTTTACTATATATATTTATTTATAAACAATGGTGGTATGGAAGGAGTCTAATTTAAGGAAAAAGGTTAAATTGGGTTCTACAAAAATAATATTTATTCATTAAATTGGGTACGATTTAAAATTATGGTGCTATTATAACTAAAATTAAAGTTCAAAATACCGAGAGAAGAAAGTTATATTTAAGGTACAATTAAAACTACCAGCAAAATTTGGAGTATTTTTAATAATTTAACCTTATGGATCGGGGGAACTGAACTAATAAAGATCAAATTGAAAGACAAAGGAAAAAATAAGTATGAAGTTGGTCGGAGAATCAATCATGTAAAACGACTTTTGGATTCACGAAATGTCAATTGACCTATAGTTAAATTGTAAACCATCATAATATTAATAGGGAAGCAATAGTCTCTTCTAGTTAAGGTTGAAGTTAAATGGTTTAAAATGACTTATTTAAACCAATCCAAATTATTATTTGAAATTCATCTACATCAAACTGTTCAAAATAAGGTTGGATGGAACAATTTGAACAGTTTTAGTTTATCGGAGGCGGGCTACGCAACAGGGGATAGCCCTTCTTTTAACTCATCTAAATTGGTGAAAACAACTGTAATCGAGAGGACTTAAATTCGAGAGCTCTCACTATTCACATAAGTGAGCAGACCAATCAGACCACCACCAGATTGGAACAATTTAAACAGTTTATTTGAATATTAGAGTAAAAAATTTATTGAATTTCATAATTATATACTCTTGAATTTTAGAATTATAAAAGATTAATCAAATAGAATATTTTAATTCAATTTAAATAAAAAAGTGGTGTTGATACGATTATGGTTTGGTTCAGGTGTAGAGTATAATCAAATTGAACTTCTGGATTGGTTTCTATTTAATGAAATAAAAAATTTGAGGCCACGCTCTATTCAAAAATTGTTTTATGTAGATTTTACACAATTGTTATTACAACAGTATCTTAAAATTTAGAGTACAAAGATAAGAAGCTGCTTGTACATGAAGTCCAAAAAAAAAAAAAAAACTTTTCTACATTTTTATTAAAATGAGAACAACAACTGCAGAAAATTTATGATAATTATACTAACAAGGAAAAAATTGATAAGGAAATTATTTTACAAGAGCTTTTAAACAAGTGTCTCGTATTTTGATTTGAGTCAAAAATGTTACATCGCCTGGCGTTTATATTAATGGTTAGATTTTGGCTAATGGATTATAAATCATTATTCCCTATAAAATTTAGCTAATAGCTACCAACTTCTAAAATTCTCGAATAGAGTTTCAGAAATAGTGAAAAATTTTTTAAAAAATAAAATAAAATCACATCAAACTGATCATTTAATTGAACACTTGAACTTACAAATCTGAATGGTTTAAATACTTATTGAATAATTGAAAAATTAAAAAATTATTGTTTCAAAGTGTTATATTAACCACATATCATATCAATATTTTATATATAAAACTCATAAATTCCAAAAATTGTTGCTGATGGAAAAATGTGCCACTAAACTCTTTAATTTTAAGGGCATTGATTGGTCTCCTATAAAATTTTAGGTGTCACATAATTTTTCATGAAAGGTATATAAATAATTTATGTATTTTGAAAATGATAATAAATTTTAAAATAACATTAGTTGACAACCAAAAAGTATGTAGTTAAGAGCTAAATTCTATCAAATTGTGTCATTTAAGCAAGTTGAGCCGGCCTTCAACTTGCTATTTATAGTATGCAGCGTTATTTCGAACCATTGAATTTTTATATAAATAATAATAAAAAAAAGGCTAGAAGCATATTCAAATTTTGTGGATTTGGAAACTCAATAATAACTTTCATTTCAAGTGACATTTTGTAATTTCTTTTTCTATTTCATATGACATTTTAGAAAATTAAATAAGTGTTAATTCTTTTTCAATTTATCTTTGTCTCATCATGTTTCCGTTACGAGAAAATGCTTATAATTGAAGAAATATAAATTTTAGTGAGAAAAAGGGAGAGAGATTGAGAGAATAAAAAAGGGCTAACTGCATAATTTAATCTTGTACTTTACATGAAAATTTTTATGCATCCTAATATCGCAAACCAAATTTGGTGTTTTTGATTGTTATATATAAAATATTGATTTGATTTATGATTAGTATATAATTTTTAGACTAATAATGTTAACATTGTTCAATTATTTGTTGAAATGTTTTATAAAAATATTAAAAAAAAAATATTTAGCATGTTTAATTTTATAAATTGAATGTTTAATGAATCAAAGAAAAAAAATATAATAAATTTTTAAATATAAAGATGAATTTATATATTCGCTAACTAAGAAAGAAATCCACATGCTATGTGCATTGAAAATTTAATAAATATGATGGAACACGTCTCTCTATATGAATTAAGAAGTCAAAATTCCAGGTTTGATGGGCTAAGAAGTTTCATCATCAGACGTATGGAAATTATTTGGAAATTGAAAATGAGCAGCCCATGACCTTTCAATTTTCATAAGCCAGCTTAGAACTACGAACCGTTTCCTACCTCTTTAAATAAAATATTAATCCATAAAGAAAATGGAACAAATGAAGACAAAAATTCAAAGAAAAAAAGAAAAGGAAACCGACAGATTTCTTACATAAAGGTATCCATTATGATCGATTATGGTATCAAGAAAAAAAATTTTAAAATGCCTATCATTATCTTTTAATTATTTTACTTTTTTTTTATTCAATATTAGATTTTCCCAACTAATTTATATGTTTATCCGATAATTTTAACCGCACAGTTACCTAATGCATTTTTAAAGAAAAAAAATTACTAGTTCTAACATTTTTAAGTCATTAACGAACAAAAAATCAAAAAAATTAGTAAAGAAAAAAAAAACCCTATTCTTATCAATTGAGTAATTGTTTAGTGTTAGAACTTAGAAATTAAAACAAACAAAAAAAAGTAAGGTTAATTGAAGAATTACATCCTATTACCCAAAAACAAGATCACAAATTGAAATTAATGTTCATGTAACACAAAAATGGAAAATGTCATTCACAAGAGAGATTGGAAAACTAAAGCTATACAAAACTAATTAATATCTAACACCAAAAAAAATTTGTTTTTTTAGATAAAATCAGTAAATTATATATTTAAAGCAACCTTTCCATCAAAATTAACTTCTTTCTTCCCTTTCAAATGAAGCAATTTTGACCAAAACCCTTTCTTATTCTTCTTCTTTCCATTCTTTCCTTCTGTAACAAAAGCAAGTGATCTACTTTTCTTTAATCCATTTCCTGCAATACTCACCCTAAAAGATATCGAATGCATAATATCAGAAACATTCCGATGATGATGATTAAGGCGGCGAGGACGGTGATGATCCGGAGACATGTGATTTGAAGAAGAAGCAGAAGAGAGAGACATAAATGAAGAAGATGAAAGAGCTATTGCTGCTGCTTCTTTGTCATTTAAAGGAGCGACATATAGTTTAGATAATTTCTCTCTTAGACAAGATGGACAAACTCCTTGCTTGTGATTATGATATGGGTGCTCTTTGCATGCTTGCTGAAATTCTGAGAAACCCATTTGTAAACGCTCTCTGAGATTTCTTTAAACCTAATTCTTGAAATACCGGTGGTGGTTTTGTTGCATATGGAGGAGTGTTGTATGCATATAATATATATAATCATATAGGTATGAACCAATACGTGTTTCCAGGAAAGTGCCTGGTTTGGATTGGTGAGAGCAAAGGCCAAAAATATTTTCTATCACAGCCCATTTAATAACATTATTAAAGAATCGTAAAGATCAATCTACAAGTGTACATGGTATTACGGTCAAACTTGCCCTTCTACTTCTCAATGTCGACATTTAATAAATAATACTGGTACTAGTAATTAGCTGTTAAATGTCGTATTATAATTGGAAAAAGGTTTTTAGTTCATGGAAATTCAAGATCATTACATCCAAAATGTCTATATTGCCCTTTGTGCAATATGTGTAGTGTCAATATTGTCCTCACTTAAAAAGGGTTGACCAAAAGTCTTTTCTGTAAATTTAGGTACAATGATCTTAGATCACCACGAGTCAAATACACTACTCTTACAAATTAATTGTAATATATTAATATTAAAGTTTGAGATGAAGCCAAATTTCCAATTATATTTTTATCTTTTATATTTAAGGGCTATAGACATAAATTCATCCATATTTAAATGCATTAAATATTATTGCTAAACGAAATTTTTTAGATTTTCAAATTTATTAGCCAAATAGCACTATTCCAAAAAATAATTTGGTAACTTAAAAAAATTACTTAAATTTGATTAAATTATTTTAAAGTGATAAATAAAATAAAAAATATTAAAAATTGTGTTATTTTTATAGGGATGATTTTTTTTTTTTCTGCCGGTAAATTAATACACGTGTGCGATCATTCAAATTTGTATTATTTGCATACATGAACGGGACGGTTAACGTCGAGGTTGACCATGAGCTAAATGGACGGCGAAGATTGAAAGTAGAAGACAAAAGAATTCGGACCCACTCGAGTTAAGTAGACTCGTATGAAACGAGAAGCTATCAGCTGAACGCGTGGTTAGCGGTGCACGTGGACAGAATATACGTGCAAGAAAATGGAAGTGTGGAATAGCAATACTAGAAAGTGTGGAGGGACACGGTGAGCATTTATGGTGTGCGTTAATAAATAAATGTTTATTTATTTAGACTCGAGAAAAACGATGGGACATATGTTTGTCGTATGAATTGGGTTAGTAGTTTTTTATTGGTAATAATCGAAGACACACGTGGTGTTGTTGCCTCTACCGAAGACCGCCATCAGACATCACTGGAACCGATGAAATGCCGGAGACTCACCGCTTCCTCTCATTCTTTACTGTATTATATATTTTGGTCATTGACTCTTTTGTTTATAGAATAGAATCACGTATTGGATTAACAAACTGTAGAAAAATTTAGAAAAAGTTAGAAATTGAGATGAAAAGAGGGGGAAGGTACATGCTTCTAAATTGAGGCAAGTATGTTTAACATAAAAATTTATGTAGCAAATTCCAATATATCCCACTTTCAAGTTTCAAGAGCAAATATAAGGACATATCCCATGAATCCTTCCCTTTGCATTTGGCACACAACACCCTACATTCATTGCATAAGACATGTCAACAACTCCGTCCATTGTTGAAAAAGAAATAATATTACTTCCTTCATTCTCTTTATATAGAGAAACTTTTTAATTTGTTGCCTCTACCGAAGACCGCCATCAGACATCACTGGAACCGATGAAATGCCGGAGACTCACCGCTTCCTCTCATTCTTTACTGTATTATATATTTTGGTCATTGACTCTTTTGTTTATAGAATAGAATCACGTATTGGATTAACAAACTGTAGAAAAATTTAGAAAAAGTTAGAAATTGAGATGAAAAGAGGGGGAAGGTACATGCTTCTAAATTGAGGCAAGTATGTTTAACATAAAAATTTATGTAGCAAATTCCAATATATCCCACTTTCAAGTTTCAAGAGCAAATATAAGGACATATCCCATGAATCCTTCCCTTTGCATTTGGCACACAACACCCTACATTCATTGCATAAGACATGTCAACAACTCCGTCCATTGTTGAAAAAGAAATAATATTACTTCCTTCATTCTCTTTATATAGAGAAACTTTTTAATTTCGGCATTTTATTTATACATAGTACTTTACTCAAAATGAAAACTTTGAAAAAGATGTCAGATGAACAAATTCAAAATACATTCATATTAGCTTTGTATCCGCGTACAGATTGTGCTATAAATTAGGAAAGTGACAGACGAAAGAAAGACAGTTAATGCATTTAAGTTTCAAAGTTTGACTGGATAACTATTTTTCAATATGTATTTTTAATAGTGTACTTGACTTTTGAATACGAACACAAACATGAGCGACAATTTTTTTATTATTCAAAATATGGACACACAATTGAGGTCTAATATATCTACCTTTTATCATTTTGTGTACACATAAAAGAGATGCACCCAATTTATGCATTGGAGAACGAATTGTCATTTATCATTCTATGCACACATAAAACAGATGTGCCCAGTTCATGCGCTAGAGAACAAATTGTCATGTGATGTCTAAGTGAGATTTTTGTTATCTTATGTACTGGAATTTGAACTCTTTTTCTTTCCCTCTTTCATAGACCTTTCATGCGAGAAATATTATTTTTTGGATGGATATTGGCATTTCGCCAAATCCTATAAACTTAAAGATATGTTAAATGTGACTGCAACTTGTTTATGACTAGGCGTATTTAGCTTACCTTATTGCAACTCAGAAAAAGCCATGATGCTTACAAAATTCTTTACATGATCTGATATATTTTTCTTTTTGTTTCTTTTTTTCTCATTGCCTGCAACAACATTTTTGGTATGACTCATTTCATGAACCACCACAATACTTTCTTCTGCATTAGGTAAACGAGTTCAAATCTGACAGATGAAAAGTTGCGTGTTTATTGTGAGAATATGTGGGCGAATTTGTTGGAACTTCATTGAGATAAAATGAAAATGAATTATTCATGATGCTAGAAAAATATTGTTCTCCTCATTCTATTGCCCTCAATTTGAAAAGCTTATAATGCAATTACATGTTCATGTTCTATTCCAAATTTATATAAGTGCATATTGTAGAAGTTGATTTTAAAACTGAGAGTATCAAAAATTTTGGTTTCCACATTTTCATCATATTTGCGCACATTTGATTGAAATTGCTCAAGAGTTTCAAAAATGAGGAAATTCAAAATTTTAAACATGGAATTTTAATTTGGGAAAGTTTGAAAATGGATAAATTAATGCCATTAGCTCACAATTCCCTCTATTTTTTGGCTGAAATCTCATAATTAATGATGCTTTGAGAGTCTATCTACATGAGTTGGCTATCCATCAAATAAAGAGCCTATTCAATGTTGTTTAGGGGTAAATATGCATATTTTGAAAAAATTATTCAGTTAAACTGCTTTCTTAATTCCTATGCAAATTCAATTATCTTTATATAATGAGAACAAATGGAGTATTTATTTTCTGAACTTAAATGTTATTTTTGTTATGTTGTAATCATCCATATAATGGAATGAGAATTATATTATATGGCTGATTACATTACTTGGTTAAACTTTTTTTAGTCTTATAATGTAATTGAGATTACATATGTAATTTTCATTGCATAAAAAAAATCTATGTAAAACCTATTGCATTCCTCAACCCATACCTGTTCTCAACTATCACCACAACCACCACAATTACCACTGTAACTACTACTCCACCACCGCAACCACCACCACTAATATCGCAACCACCGTTGCAACCACCACCACCACTCCATCACAACCACTACCACTATCATCATCACCACCACCATCGCCACATCATTATTAATTATTCTTTTGTATTTTTATAGGAATAGGAAAAATGGAAAATCACTAAAAAGGTTAATTTTATATCGTATAAAAAAAAAATAATTTCAATGATTTTAACTTTTATTTTACTACATTGCATTTTTTTCGGCTTTTTTTTTTTTAATTTTCTAGTTCAAATAGTTTATAGGTCTAAATAGTTTTTAATAGCTTGGTATAATGAATAACTTTTGATGATTCAAATATTTTATTAATAACGATAATGTGGTGGTAGTGGTGGTGGTGGAGTGATTGTGCAGGTGGTGGTGTGCTTGATGGTGGTAGTATACTAAATACATTACATATTTAGAAACAAACATAAAAATAAAACGGTGATTATATTTCACAAATTTTCTCAATTACATTACCAAACATAGTAATGGAATCTTAATTACATTCCATTATATTATATTTTCGTTACATTATATCTTTGATTATACTACACATCAAACCAAATATAATCAAAGGGAATATATAATTTATTCAAAAATTATTCATTTGTATAATTATTATATTAACTTTTTGTACAGAAGGATCAAAAAGCTCAATTTAGAAAAATTAACATAATATTTTTTAATACTTTAACTAATAAAAATTAATTTAAAATATGGAAAAATATTATTTTATTTTTAGTAAAAATTGAGCTTTCTTTTAAAAGTTTTGAATGTATAGACGGAATAGAGAGCTATCAGAATGTGGTAATGGTTTTACTTTTTTGCTTCACTTGGTATTGGAGATTTTGTGTTAGGCCCAATCAGATTTTGTATTAGGTTCGTTTCTTGTTTTATTGCTTTGGGCTTTTCTGGGCTTTGGAATTGCCTATTTTCTTCTCTTGGGCTTTGAGACTATTCATTTGTTTCCTCATGAATTTCAAATAGGCCAGCGTCTCCACTCTAGATACAAAATACATGCTCTATGTTTTCTTTTATTCTTAATTATTTTATATTTATCAGATTAGAATTACAATTTACAAATATAAATTTCAACACAGTTTTGGGGCTGAATTATGGGCCATCTTTGCTGGCGTTCAAGTTGCTTTATTTATTGTACAAAAAAAAAAAAAAAATTAACATTTTTTTTATTTCATGCAAGTGGCCAAAATAATATTATGGGTCTCATAATAAGAGTAGTCTACAGATCTCATATTAATATATTTAATGCATAAAACACAAATAACGCTAATTATCTCTTTCTTTTAAAATATTGAAAAAAGAGATTTGAAAGGTTACAATGCACTTGCTATTGGACTAGGACTAAGAATGGAACTTGCAAGCTAATTATCAAAGATGCATTTGTCGACCATAA